GAGAGCGCATGGCTTCCTCATACTTGCCATGATTTGTAAATCAAAATATTTCGATGCATGACCACAATTCTCTTTCCAGTGTAACACAAGGTATAGTGGCAAATGGTATGTAGATATTACACAGCCTCATTCAATTTCTACCTTGCCTCCACACTATGCATCTTAAAGAATAACCGTTTCTCAGTAAAGGATCATCTGCTCCTGGAACAGTGGATTGCTTTTTCGCTATTCAGTGATAAAAGGTGTTGTAGATGGATGCACAGTGAGCAATGCCAACTGTACTTCATACTGAGAAGAAGAAAATTTCAGTTTCTGGCTGACTAGAAATATAGGACCAAGTAACATACCTGGGCAACCCTAACTTGCCCTTTTTGAACAAAGCCTTTTCTGTGCAGCTCTGGATTCCTATGGCCTTGGATTGAACAGGATGGGAGCAACCCACACCTGCCCAAAAGACAATCATTTAACCTGCTTTTTAGTTAAAAATGCTCCCTTTGTTAAATTTCAAAACGCCAGACCCCTTTACTCTCCTCTCAGGCTTACACACAGCTTACATTTGCCATTTGGTTTCTCAGGACATGCACAGCGATTTTTCCCTTTGATCCTTTCCAGGGAGAGGGAAACTGCTCAATGTCTTGCCCCTCTCTCTCATGGCTCTGGCCAGCTCTGAGGGTGGGAGGTGAGGGGCAGGGTTAGGGTTGCACAGAGGTATGGGTTTCATTTCCCTGTTTTTAACTTTGTATGCTGCTAGACTGAACATTCTGGAAGAGTGGAAGTTTCCATAAAGAAATTTCCTATAAAGAAACTTCCACTCTGAAATAAGGAAGATCCATTTTTCAATTAATTCATTAACATTGTAGAGTATAAGATCTTGCACAGTGCAACCCAACATAGCATCTCCAAAAACGGAAAGCTGGATCAGACTGGGGCTTTGGACTCTACTCCTACGTAATAAAAAAGCACTGGGTTTTTTATTAGCATTTTTTTAAATCTGCAACAAGATACAACTCTGAATCTATTCTCCCTAAACAAAGGAAAACTGTATTCATTTTTGTCAGACCAGCACTTTGAAATTCCCCAAGACAAGACACATAAATAAATGAAGAATTATACTTGGCAATGAGTTTGGCATCAGACTTTAAATGTTTCATAGCTCTGGGCTGAGGAAATAAGTCGAGCAAAGTCTCTAGAACCTTTCCGGAGATGTACTCAGGGTGTTTGGATATATTTGACAGCACCATGTTTAAAGGAGGAAAAAAGAGGAAATTGCTTATTCAAAACGTGAGAAAGGCTTGCACCATGTGACATGCCTGACATTTAAGTGATAATAGTGTTGTGCATATGCTCTTTTGGCTTTGGTCTGACACCTAGACTCTGCCATGGTGCAACTTAGCACTGTCATGGTACAGCCTTGATGACTAAACTCAGAGTGATGTGACTTACCACTCATTTCGGGAACATATGGGCCACAGATCACCCAGCCTCTGCCACAGGCTGGGGAAACGTACAGCGTCTCAGGCAAAGACCCTGCGAGTTCCCCAGCTGCACAAGGTGGCTGTGCAGGCTGCACCATCCTTTGGGATGTCATTTGCATTACAGAAAATTGTGGCTAATTAGAAATAAACAGAAAAATGCTTGATTTACAAAGAAATGTGTGATTTTGCCAGCTAATTTTTTTTCGCTCCCTTTAACTTAACATTCACAGAATACACTGATCATGCTAATGCTTTTGCGATATTCATTAATAAGGACAATTTACATTTATATAGCACCTCTCTTAGTTAAGAATTCCAAAGCTTTCAGCAAAATATACACAAAAAATTACATCTATTTCACTGAATATAGTCATCGTCGGAATGAAAATCAACAATTGTGAAGCAGTGCAGAAGAACGTTACACAACAGTTGCAAATAAGACACAAAGCAAACACCCAAAAAACCCAAAGCAAAAAACCCCTGAAATGCCAGATCCAAGTGAAGGTAAAGGGGACGTTAGTATGCAAACAGCAGCGTCAAGCAGGTCTGTGTGTGCCCTGAGGAGCAGTGCTTGGAGGCAGCAAACATACTTCATAATGATTAAAGCACCAGGCTTCATACATGTGCAGCCTATTGCTTTTCCGCATACTGAGGGAAATTCTCAGTTTAAACTGCGAATCTACTGAGAAGAATGAACCAGGAACACTAGATGGACTCCGGTGATGTGAAAAGGTAAGGTAAGCGTATGCCAATTGCGAACAGCATTTATCTGGCCACTAAGCTTCTTACTTTACAAACGCTTTCCAAATTTTAAAAGGTATTAATTATGTTAATACATTCCCCTGCAAAAATAAAATAAAATAAAAACGCACTTCTTGTTTCAAATGATATGCTTTAGTTCTCTATCATGACGACACATAACTGGAATTCCCAGACTGAAATCAAATAATCTATTCTCTCTGTGTTCAAATCCCCCTTCTATCCCAAAACTCATTTACTCTAGTCACTGATCAAGTCTCCCCACACCGTATCACAAGTTAAGAGTCACAGGTGGGAGAAAAAGCCATCCATCTAAAGTGAAAATAATAGCAAAACTTTGAGAGAGAGCATGCATGCGTTAGCAAGACCAAAGCATAAGCTATTAAGTGACAAATGTCTTGATAAATGTTCAGCCCTGCAAACACAAAATAACTTTGGTTTGGCTAATAAGCATCCATTATAGCTCTTTCCCATCATTTTGAGGCAGACAAGATAGTTTTCATACTTGACCCTTGAAAGCAGATTTGCTTTTGTAATTAACATTTTATCCAAGGATTTTTCTTTCCACATCTCTTTCTCTTTTCAATACTCTCCCTCTAGCATAGAAGGATTTCCTTGCCTGAAGTTGCCACTATATTCAACAACTGCTGGCTGAGACCTCGCGACCCACTGCATAAATTCACATAAAATTATTCACGTTTGGCACATTTTCTGCTGGCGAATAACAACAACCTTTTTGTCTCTGAGACAAAGGAAAGAAAGATTTAAAAAAAGCAACAAAGGCAGCCTAATAAGAATCCCACATTTCCTATTTTTTCCTAATCTGGTTAAACAGCCTTTACAAGCCTGAGAAATTCAACAAAGCGAAGTTGTTATGGCCTGTTTGTCTTTCAGTTCAGAATCAACACAGATGGAACAGCCTCTCAGCATGACTTCTGATCACAGGCTTAGATATGAGGTAACTTTTCTTGCCTGTTAGATGTTTTAGTTTTTGTTTTTCACTGAGTTATCGTGCTATCATGCAATTACAGCTAAATCCACACTAAAATCCAGGATCCCAACACCAAATCCAAACCTGGTTGGGACTTCAATCTTGTCCACATAGCAAGCCAAGAGTTCATTCAGTTTAGTTACAACCACAATACAAACAATCAAATAAAAGAGCCCAGAGAAAAAGGCTTGAGCATTTCTTTTTGCTGCATGGAAAAACAATGTATAGACCACACTTCACAAATGATGACATTTTTAAAATGTAAAGCTACAAAGTCCCTGTTAAAACTGATATTATGAAGCAACCTTTATGACAATGTCTTATTCCAATTGAGTTACATCTGTATATATTTATATTTGAAAAATACGTGAACCTGAATTTAGACTCCCTCCCACTGGGAATTCTCAGATCTTAGTTTATTGAGTTAGTATGAATTCGGTTTCTGATCCACTCACTATACACAAACCTTTGTGCGACTTCAGTGACAATGGCCTCAAGACTTTTTTAGTACAGCAAAACCTGCTAGATGGCAAAAAACTGTGATGACTACCTCTTATTTCACCCTCTTCACCCTTATGCAGTAGAAGAAGAGTTAATAATATGGAAGAAGAAAATTAGCAATGTCATTATGTTTGGAAAGATCTCTACCATACTGTATTTAGGTGAAAAAGAGAGATACTTGGCCCATTCCCTGCCACAAACAGATTTATGTCAGAAGTGTCTTACTATTTAAAACAATGACACAGTAGACATTTTTAAAGTACGATTATGCCACAAACAGAAAACACTCCTATATCTCTGCTTATGTATGTCTCCAAAACTAACAAGTGTGGTATCGCCTAGCATGAACTGAGGCTATGGGGAGACACTACAGACTGTAATATGAACTCAAAGCATGAACAATTCCTCAAGTCCCCCATGTCTTATTCTGTCAGCTCTTCTTTTCACATAGACTTTATGTCTTGCCTACACACTCATACGTTGGTTTGAAAACCCCAACATCATTATATTAGCACTGTGACAGTAATGAAGTCTTACATTCTTTTAGCCCCAAATTGCAGAAATCAACCAGTTTTAAAATCATCATAATGGTGGCTACATCATCAACTCAAAGGAATTTCTGTTTTCTTTTTAACCCAGGGAAAAACTTGACCATCTTTCTTTAATGCTATCAACCTGGAAGCTTGACAGTAAGGATTAAAAATTGCTCTTTCCTTCCCACTTGGTTATTGGAAAGGCTATGAAAGGCAATCAGTCTTGTGAAGCCACACTTCAGAGTCTGCATAAAAATGCCACGATTCCCAGCCCTCTCCCCAACCTAATTGAAAGTGTGTAATATCACACAGCTAGGGAAAACTAAACAGTAAACATACACAATATATCATGCTATCATACAAAACTTGTTACTAATAGGTACCTCATGATCAGCAGGATCGAAAGGGATCTGAAAACAGTGATTATTTTTGCTGCAGGGTAAGAACTTTTCCCCATTGAAAGAGGGAATAACACTCTCTCAGCAGTGCAGGAATTGGACTGGAGTCAGTTCATTCATTCTGTTTGTGAAATATGGACTTTTCTTTAATGATTTCTGTTTGACTGCTGCCTTGCTCAGATGCTTTGGGGGTACTGCTGCAGCAAATCATGGTTTTGGTTAAGAGGAAATCCATGGCTTTCTAGGCAGTAAATACAGGTGTCTGGGGCATCTGAACAGCCCCCACGCCTAGCCCCAGGCCTCCTCCCCACAAAGCTATCGTTGTTTGTAATGGCGATATTACCTGTCACCAGGAGTCTGTGGGTAGTGCTGCTTGTTTATTTTTGCATACAGTCCTTCCAAGTGCTCCCTCTCCATGGGTGCTGAAGGAGAATCACGTGGATATACAAAGGTTTCTGCTACTGCTGGTGAAGATGGTCTGTATATGCTTGCTGCTGGATAAGCTTCTCGGAAGTGGTTTACTCTGGCATAATTTGGATCCACCTCATCATCATCCATGTCAGGTCCTCCAGGACCAGCAGAATAATCACTCAGGCCTCTTAGTTGCTTTTGCCGTAACTCCTGATGCTTTGCACCAATCCTAACAATGAAAAAGACAAATACACAGTTGGATCCGCTTCAACAGCAACCACAGACACTGATTCATCACACAAATTTGGAGCACCAACCCCGAACCCAACTGTTTAGATCTTCTAGTACACTGTGAAATTGGTGCCAGATAAAACAAAATGGTGCATGCAGCAATTTTGCTCTTTACCTCTGGCAATCATCTTTGTAACCAAGGCTGGTCATCATTCTGATGAAAAAAAGATTAATACTGAATATAGTGTGGCTTTTCACAAGTGTGTATGTGTGTGTGTATGCACGAACACATACAGTTTTAATTCTACACCTACCCTCCAATTTGCAGTTAATATACCTAACCCAATCTTGAAACTTTTTATCTAAATTAGCCAGTAAAATTGTTACTGCCCCTTGGTCACTTGACCCACCTAGAATCTCTTAAATACATTACCTTGTGAAAAGTGGATTAAACGTGAACGTAAATGGAGAGATGGCACAGTTGTCTCAAATCAAAGGACCACAGTTAATTTGCTGAAGATTTAATTTTTTTTTAATATTTTATTTTGGCTACATAAATGTGGAAATCATGACTTATTATATAGGGGATAGGGACAAAGTAAAACAGCAAAGAAATTAATAGAAACCTGACAGAGATGAATTGGTACATATAAGTGAATTAAAGACTATTACTGGCAGTACTCCACTGTGATAAAGCCTTAAGTGGTATTACAAAACGCTGCTGCTAATCAGGGCCATTGTGTAATCTCTTTGGAATAGTAAAACATATTCAGGTAAATTTCAAACTCTGCTGATATTCAATGATTCAACATTCATGCTGGAGAAAAAAAAGCTATAGCAAGGCTTTGTGAGCACGCAACTTCTGTTAACTGCTCAGCTACTCTTCAACACAGCGTAATTAAATGCAGTGAGACGGATCTGGCAGAATGCTGACCACAGTACACGATAAATAGCATTTACAGAAAATAATGGAGCATGGAGGGAAAAACAAAGCATGGAAGACATACACAGATGCAGTGCCTGACAGAAGAAGTCAACATTTGCTGTTGACTGTAACTGAAGTACAGCAGCAGCGTAGAAACAGAGTAATTTGTACCACAGGAGAGCAAGTAAAAAGGGTCTACCAGACTTGGTTACCCCAGTAAAGCACAATGGCTTCAGGACTCTGCATAGCGAAAAATGAAGATGTTCTGGAGAAAGTCTTTAAAAGGCACAGAGAAAATGGTTCCCTAAAGAAACAGATGAGCGCATGGGGAGCTTCCAGTCTGACAGACAGGAGCTATTAAGTGCAGAATGGGATTCATACCATTTACTTTGTTTCATTAGAATTGTATCATCAAAATAAATGCTAATACTTTTCAAATAATTTGTAGCTAGAAAGGTCCACAAATAATTCTAACGAGAACAACATGCCTTTCTACACACATACTTGAGTACATTAATGTGTATTACACAAGTTTTCCAGCTGCACCTCTTCATTAACTGTGCTAGGACATATCTAGAGGTCATGATAGTTTTTAACACTTAAAATGTAGTCATACTTTACAGCAGGATGATCCTGCATATGATGCAGTCCTTGACAGTCAAGGGTGTGCCCACTATCCACTCTGCTTTCCCTCAGTGAAGAAGACAACCTTTCTCCTCCCTAGTACCCAAGTACTGTGTGCTCCACCTCGACTAATGTGTGTAGTTTTGGGCACCTCAATATAAGAAGGACATCAAACTATTAGAGTGTGCCCAGAGGAGGGTCACGAGGACGGTGAAAGGCCTCGAGGGCAAGACTTAGGAGGATTAGCTGAGGTCACTTGGTTTGTTCAGCTTGGAGAAGAGAAGGCCGAGGGGTACTCTCATGGCAGTCTACACCTTCCTCAAGGGGGGCAGCAGAGGGGGAGGTGCTGATCTCTCTCTGGTGATCAGCAATAGGACACGAAAAAATGGAATGAAGCTGTGTTAGGGGAAGTTCAGATTGGACATCAGGAAAAGGTTCTTCATTGACAAGGTGGTTGGTCACTGGAACAGGCTCCCCAGGGAAGTGGTCCCAGAACCAAACCTCTCAGTTCAAGCAATGTCTGGGTGACGCTCTTAGTCATATGGTTTAGTTTTAGGCAGTCCTGATAGGAGCAGGGAGTTGGACTTGATGGTCCTTCCAATTTGAGCTATTCTATGATTCTATGAAATATTTTAACATAAAGACCATGTGAGAGAGTAACACACCATTTCTACTTTTCCTCAAGTTCCTGATCCCAGCCCAGTTAGTCAATTTTCCTTAATTTTTCTTCAGATATCATTAAAAATATTCACAAAGACTTAATGTAATCTACTACAGTAGTTCTTAGAGATGAAAGGATAATAATAAGAAATAAGCTACAATCTACCTACATCCTTAATACCTCTCAGGTTTCTACACTGAGGCTTCCTAAGAATTCCTAAGAATTTCTCCTTTGTTTTGTCCTGGAGCTTCTTTCCCTGTACAATAACCTCCTCGTCCCGTAGTAACCTTCACTCCATTTCCATTTTGCTCCAGGTTTTCACAGCACACATGCTCCCTATTTTGAACTCAAATCGTGGCCCAGGTCAGGACAGGCACTACCCTCAAGTGCAACCTCACCCAGAGTAAAGCAGTATCTTGAAGAAGTCGCAGACTTCAGAGTGAGCCTTTGATTCTGCGCAATTCTGACTCTATTCACAAGGGAGATTTTACTGGAGGATCTTATGGAGGGCATAGCCTGGTGTCGATATGCGATAAATTCAGTTAGTAAGACACATATTCTGTCATTTTACTGCCAATTGCACTGGCTTAGCTGGCTGATGGCTTCTTGGGACAGCGGGATTTTAACGGCATTTACAGAACGATGGGACATACAACTTGTTCTTTGCAAAACTAATGGTGACACTGGTATAGACTTTGGTAGAAGTCATGCTTTTACTCATAAAGCAATGGACAATAGCATGGGGAGAGAGTCAACACTGAGGAGCTGTGTATGAAAACAGAAACTAAAAAGCAGAGGTCAGCTTGCATTTCTATCTAAGCCACAAACCATTCCTAGCAAATGAGTAATAATTAGAGAACAGCTGAAAGTGTGGAAAGCCTTTATCCTCCAAGGGTTTATGAATAAAGATAAAAGAGAGATTATACAGCAGGGAGTGGTGGAGGGAGCCAGTCTGCATGTGTTTGTGAGTGAAACATCACATTCAACATTCACGTAAAGGAATTTGGACTAAGTTATCCCTTGGTCCATTCATGTAAAAACACAACCTTTTCAGGTAGCTCATCGTCTGAGAGCACTTGTTGTACTACAAGGACATGGGTAGATTTCCATTGCAAATAAGGCCTCAGACATCAATGAAGCAGGGAGGGAGGTCTACACTGCTGTTTTCCATCTTTCATACATATAGACACTTCAAGAGAAACCCTCTTGGAGAAGGATTAATATTTTACATGTGCCACATGGGATTATGTCAGAAATGTAAAAACGAAGGCACTATCTTTGTTTAAAGAAAATAATCACACAAGTAACTGTTAGCTCCTGGACCCAATAACTGTCAGTTTGGTAGTAGTCCTTGCATCTGATTATCCTGCCCTTCTTCTGCTAAAATGCATAAAGCACTTTTGAGATTGTTGCTGTCTTCCAGATGAATTCTGAAAAAGCACTGAATGTTCTTAAAAACCTGAGAGACTGTGGAGGGCTTCACCCTCAATTAGTGACCAAAAAAGCCCAAACACAGACTATTCAGTGCAGGAATACATCACATGAGGTACAAGTTTCATGGCACACAGGTCCATGTGGGACGATACAGGCAGAAAAATGGGACGACACTGCGTTTCAAGAAATGGTCTTGTCACACAACAGTGTAGAAGGCATGGCACACAGTCCCGAGAAGAGTCACAGCAGTTTCTCAGAAAATGATGAGCCACAATATTCTTTGGACCGATATATCACCTGTTCCCTAGGTATTTAAGACCTATTTGAAAGCAAGAGTAGTGCAGCACAGCAGTATCACGTGAATCTTGCTTTCATGTCTGACAGTGAGAGTAATTTGTCCTGCTATCAATACTGGTATATTCTATACAACAAAAGCTGGAATTAGGTCACCACAATTTTCTTTTGTTCCTGTGAATAAGCCTAGCTTCTTCAAGTTCTCCTTCTGAACGCAATCTTCAATTGCTGCCACTATTATAAGTTGAACCTGCTCAAGAACAATTATTTCTGTTCTATATTATACGGACCAGTCAATACCAGGTTATGCGAAATTCTTCATGATCAATGTTTAATCTTTTCAATATGGCTATTATAATTGCATTAATATTTCTTGTTTCCTTTTTACTCTTCCACAGAAATCTATAAAATTTGCTCAGTGATCTCTTTTTCATTTCAATCCAAAAATCAAATATAGGGAAACAAACTATCAGATGGCTGTTTTTTCTTTCTTTCGATTTACCTGTCCTTCCATGCCTTCTCTTGTGTTTTTCACCTTTGAAGTTTCTTCACTTTTTTGTGAAGTTTTAAATACACTCACTGTGCTTCAGCATCTGTTTTCACCCAGTTTTAAAGCAATCTTTTCCGTAGCACATCCCAGTAGGTGCCCAGGAATTCTTTACTGAGGTACAAAAAATTAGTGTGCTGTTTCTTCCATCACTCCTGTAATGCTCTGCTAACCCTGCTAAGCAGGCTACTTCTGCTATATCCATTTCTGCACCTTCCTCTGCATTTTGCTCTATCTGAAACAGCAGTATCTTTACCCCCCATCACACACACAAAAAAATAAGTCTTCCAAATCAACACAGCTATCACAGCAACCAGCTTACAGTTATTATGAACAAACAATTACTACAAGAGAGTCCCAAACTCGCAGTACAGGATGGGTCTGGTTAAACAACTAGTGCAAATTTGTGACAAAAGATAAAATGTCACTCAGCACCACGATGCTGGCAGTGAAACCAGAGATGAGGGGAGGCACAGGTCACCATCTGAACAATTTAGTGTAGCACTAAAGTTT